TGGCACCTCAAACATTAAAATCCTTCCAGCATTTATCAAGTTATTTATTTTAAAAGAAAACTGCTTGCGTATTAATACAGTTAAAGGTTCTAACATAGTTTATTTTCTTGATCTAAAAGAATTCACAGCCACTAAAGAGTTCACTATTATTTAATATCTATACGATGCACATTGCACAATAAGTATGCACACAGACGGCAGGACTAAAATTCACTCCCCATGTTATCAAATGTGGCAAGGCACACAAGAATCCATCCGCCTGCCAGAGTCCAGTTGAGTTTGCAGACGGAAATTTTGGAATTGCCTCTTGGGCGATTTTTAATACTCGTCCTGCAGGCTTTTTCTACTGTACATGCGCATAGAGGTGCTTTCAACGTTACGCTCCGCACACTGGAACCAACAACAAGTCTGGGAGTCTCTATACCTTATTTCTATTTGATTTTAATTAGCGCAGTAAAACCGATGTCACAATACTTTGTAAAACATCTTCCTTGCATAATAAAAAATATATATATTAACTTTCCCTCGTCCTCTTATAAATATTGCTTAAGGTGATGCTATTCACCATTCAATTTTCTTTTTTTTATAAATGGGAACCACCCAATGTTTCCTATTAGGTACTATGAGTAAAACAGTATACCAAATCACTAGAATCGTCGTCCTCCTCTAACCATGGCTGCACCACACTACATTTTTATGTGCCATGTCATAGGACTGAATGTTGTGAAAGCACGAGTCTGAGGAGGGAATGGATAGTTTGCATGGTTGCGGTCTAAGGCAGCTGTGTGTGTAACAACAAAATCTGTCTGACTGTGGAGTCCGTTCTCATGAGTCCATCTGACTCTGTGTGCGCCGACCTTTAGGTGGAAATTTCCATCCCAACAAAACTCCTTATTTGTGAGGAGCTAGAACTGACATCTGACATGGGATTGAAACCATGGAGTTATGTCATCTGGAATCCCTTTGTCTGATTGGATCTAACAATCACCCTAACAATGCTAGTAAACACCTAGCATTTGTTTCCGTGATTGCAGAAAATGTCAGAAACATATTTTGACTGCTTATATTTAATCAATTATACAGTTTAAAATTGAGATTTTTTAAAAAAAATTTAGTTATTGATTTTTGATACCGTACATTAGACGTGATGTTTGAGTATTCAGATGCTTATATAGAAAGGGCCATAATAATACAAAAATTCCTTAACCCTTCCGGGACTATAGTCGGATATATCCACTATCATATCATTTTGTGCATAGCGGACGGTAGGCAGATATATCCACCGATTATTACATCTATTGTTGTAGTTGATTATATATAACTAAATTAATCTTCGTAAAAACGGTCTTTTAATGAATTATATCTTTAACCGATGTATTAGGAATGTTTTTTCCAGCAGAATGAAAAAATAATAATAATAATAATAACTAGTGTAACTACCTGTTGCTCAAACTCGAGCAATTGCTAAGTATTACAGGCGTTATTTTAAAACGAATAACAGTCATAATTTCTGATGACTTTAAAGATTCCACTTAAATATTATGGACACACTCAAGATGTACATAACAGATCGATATAATCAACATTTCTTGTAAATCTTACTAATATTATAATTGTGAAAGTTTGTGTGTTTGTTTGTTTATTTGTTTGTTTGTTTGTTTGTTTGAAGTTCAATCACGCATTAACTACTGGATGGATTGGGCTGAAATTTGGCATGATGATAGATCACATTCCCGATTAACATATAGGCATATTCTTATCTCAAAAATCCTTTCGGGCTCCACCCCAGTGGCTCTGAAGTTCCCCATGTTAACCTTATTTTTAACCTTATTATTAACCTTATTATTATTATTATTATTATTATTATTATTATTATTAACCTTATTATTAACCTTATTATTCATATTTAAAGGGAATTAAAGAATTTAGTCAGCTGTTTCAACTGAAAAAGTTGGTTCTATGATTTGCAAAAGCATTAAAAGTTATTTAAGATTTACCAACAGGGTGCAGCACTATTATTTTTTTATCATTTATGAAAACAGCTAATTTGAATTAAGCAGCAGCAAAAAACTGTGGTAAGCAATGAGAACTGTCAAAGTAGGATTGTTTACAGTTATGTTTATTTTTTTATTTCATGAATAATTTGTGATATTTAGCAAATTTTTTAAATTTGTTTTTCTCTATTGTTTAGGTGAAGTGGTAGATTATTATGACTATTGTAGATGTGTCATACTATAGTATACTGTAAATTTAAAGAAGCAAATTTTATCAAACTGTGTCTTCCCCCATTGCAAACGCAAAGCTTGAGTATAACTGGAATAATCATTTTATACTTATATGCCAACCCCGTACGAAGGACGGGTATGACTGCTAGTATCTTATAATTTTTTAAAAGCTGATCTTGTTTTTTTAGTGTTTTCTACAAATAGCCTTACTCATAGCCTCATTTTCCATAATAATGATTATAAATAAAAAAAAAAAAAAAAAAAAAAAAAAACTATTTCTATTTCTTCTCCTTGGTGATGTTCTATGACTTTTGTATGTTTCCATAGTTTGCAAATCGGCACTTTCAATGATTTCTAAGAAATGCAGCTCAGTGTTAATTCAGTTTTCTTTTTTGTATATAAAACTAGCTGACCCGGCGAACTTCGTATCGCCTAAGTTATAGGTTTCCCCTAAGACAGACCGATGGAAAGAAAGTACCGTTACGTTTAATTTTCAAGATGATCTCGTTCGCATCGCTCAATCACGTCCTGGTTGAAGTTCGTTCGCTACGCTCACTCACCTTTGGGTTGGAGCTCGTTCGCTACGCTCACTCACCTTTAGGTTGGAGCTCGTTCGCTGCGCTCACTTGCCTTCAGGTTAGCTCGTTCGCTACGCTCACTCGCCTCCAGGTTGAAGTTAGTTCGCTACGCTCACTCACCTTTTGGTTGCAAATTAGCTGTTGTCATAAATGTAAAAGAAATAATAGTGCTGCACCCTGTTGGTAATCCTTGTAACTTTAATGCTATTAAACATCTTAGAACAGAACCAACTTGTTTAATTGAAACAGCTGTTAAGATTCATTAATTCCATTTCTCATAAGGTTAACATGGGAAACTCCAGAGCCACTGGGGCGGAGCCCTTTTAAGAATTTCGAAACGGGAAATAGTTTACGTCCGATTCGCATACCTACAGAATTTACACACCAAATTTCATAACGATCGGTGAAGTCGTTCCGGAGGAGTTTGCAGACAAACACTGTGACACGAGAATTTTATATATTAGATTATCCAGGCTCTCTCGCTTTTTTCCATTGTAATATTTAGGCCAACCCAAATTCAAATAGTAAATATTTCATTTCAACCAAGTCAGTAGATAGGCTATTTGTAACAAACTGTTAAATTAGCAAACTTATTGCCTGTTTACAATTAACATAATATGTTCTTCTCACTTTTAATTTCTGACAACAGCTGGAGTTTCATAACAATGTTTGTTTCCCATGTTAATCTTATGGAGAAATGCAAAACTTTAAAGGGCCCCAGGGCCTCACAATCTAATTATTTCCCTAAAAAGAAAGTTTCCTGCACAACTTCACACTACGCTCTTTCCAATGACACCAAAAACGTGTCAATCGGTTCAGTAGTTTCGGAGGAGTAATTGTCACAAAAAACCTGCTTGCCTATTACTTACTTATATTTAAATTACTTACTTATAAATTACGTATTACTTACTTATAAATTACTTGTATAGATGGAATAAAAGTAAAAAAAATTATAAAAACAATATTTTGGACAAAATTGTTGCATAGGTAAACTATTTACAGCATTCTTTAAATTACAGATGTAAAAGAGATATTTTTTTATTTTTTTTTAATTAATTTTGCTGTCTGTATTTTGTTAAAATTTTTTATATATGTATACTAGCTGTACCCGCGGGCTTTGCCCCCGTTTAACTTCATAAGTATTCGCATGGCTCAATCACGTCCTGGTTGAAGATCGTTCGCTACGCTCACTCACATTTAGGTTGGAGCTCGTTCGCTGCGCTCACTTGCCTTCGGGTTGGCTCCTTCGCTACGCTAACTCGCCTCCAGGTTTGAAGTTCGTTCGCTACGCTCACTCACCTTTTGGTTGCAAATTAGCTGTTGTCATAAATTAAAAAAATAATAGTGCTGCACCCTGTTAGTGCTGCACCCTGTTGGCAATCCTTGTAACTTTAATGCTATTGAACATCATAGAACAGAACCAACTTGTTTAATAGAAACAGCTGTTAAGATTCATTAATTCCTTTTAAATATGACAAATCATAAGGTTAACATGGGAAACTCCAGAGCCACTAGGGCGGAACCCGAAAGCCCGATCAGAATAAAAACTACTTAGTTTTCCTATTTAATGCCCAAAGAATCGGTGTACCGAATTTCAGCCTCCTAGGTAAATGGGAAGTGGGAGAATTAGTGATGAGTGAGTGAGTGAGTGAGTGAGTGTGTCAGTGAGGGCTTTGCCTTTTAAATATTTAGATAATATGTGTCTGTGAACGTGAATAATTTTTGTCCGATTTTTATGAAATTTGTTTTAATTAGTGTAAGGCGAGATAAATTTGAATTAGTTTGCAAACCAGCATGATCGGACCATGGGAACAGGGTTTTATGGGGTAAAAATTGGTTTTTCCCATTTTGACCTTCGAAAACACAAAATTTCCCAGCTTCTATCTTGACCTTTTTAAAGAGCTCAAAACAAAAATAATTTAGTATAACAAAGTGTTTTTGTATGGTTTTTAATACCTAACGGAGAAAATTAAAAAAAATTAAACTTAAAATTCCCATTGTATTTTTATGGAGATTGTTGTAAAATGTTGTAGTATGCTTGTTTATGGATACATTTTAAACACACTTGGCAAATTTAATCATTTTATACTAAGCTATAATTATTTTACTAAAACCCACACATTATTAGTTTCCTGGTAGCAGCTAGGTACTCATTAAACCTAATGTTAATTAAAGAGATTTAGACTATTTCAAGAAAAAAATTATTTAGAATAAAAAAGTATTAGTTGAAAATTAATTCAGACAAATGGAAATTTGCTTAGTCGGCAGGTTTGCTGCGGCGGGGGTATTATGTGCTGCATGGAAGGTTATTTATTTACCGTTATAATAGAGTATATGCATGCAGACCAGAAGAGATCTAAAATTACTTGTTGGATAATCAGAAATTTGGAAAGGATGTAGAACATGTCTTTTTACGAATCCTATGGTTAACTAGATTGGTGATACTGTTACTGTGTATACTAGAGTGAGTATAAGAATAGTCATGACAATATGTGTGACTTTTATTTGTTGAATAATCTTAGTGTAATACAGGTACTTATAATTCTGTTATAATTCTCATAATAATAAGTGAAAATAATTAATTATTATCTAACTAACAAATTAAATAAACTTTGAATATTTTTTTATTGTTTTACTGTAAATACAGGGTGTTACTGAAGACTTTGTAGGGCAATTGATTTTTTCGGGCTTCTAATGCAGAATTGTTAGATTTCTTCGACTTGACTTGAGATCACTTGTTATTAGCCGGCCAGGTGAATGTCCTTTCAAAACACTATACGGTGCCACGAAATTCATTAAACCAGCATCAAATTTCTTTATCATCATGTAGGCCTATATTTAAATTTAGTTTAATTTACAAATCAATTTAACCTCTGCGAACCACAGATTACACTCTACTGTGCCTTCTTTTGCGGCGTACTGGACTGGCGTAGTGATGTGACGAGTTGAGTTGATGGATTAGACAGACCTATTTTGCCACTATCCTTTAAAAAAATTAACTAAAAATTAACCAAACAGGCCAAATTCTCTAATCTATCTATATTAACTTAAATAATGGCTTAACATACGGTATCTAATTTTTACTTTTAGCCTGTAATACAAGTACTTACTTTTCATAGGATATAGGAACAATACTCTACCAACATGTGGTGACTTATTTAGTACGGTATATAAAAAAAACAATAGTTTACAATATAAAAGAGTATTAACAAAAAATTACACTAAAGGAACATCTAAACATGAAACATACTGAATCTCTTATTACCAAGAAAAATATTATTACTATACAAAGCTTCATGAGCACGCACAAGTTATTCTTTTACTGGAACCATAAACACATACAGTAGTTACCCCTGTGATGCTTAATTTAGGAAATAAGTCTGATAATTTTGTCTAAATACTGGTTTAATGACATTTTCAAAACAATCTATTTGTGATTAGATTTAATTTCTTTGACGAAACACCATAGGCATATTTGAAGACGAATCTTAGTGTAAGATGAGTGTTGAATGGGCGCGATCTGGGAACATGTACTGGTGCACCGGTGCAGATGAACCGGCGACTTACTCACCGGTACCACCCCGGGCAAGAGTCTTAGTATCCCAGAACGGTTAGTCACCGGTTTAGGGTATACATCTGATTATAATTTACACATCCACCTACTATTTACTGTATAATATTTAAATCAAACAAACTTACCTTCACACAATAAATTATTTGCAATTTTTTCACTTATTACGTAATATTAAATCCCCAAAAATAAATCCTCCATAAATCCCCTCATAGAATAAATTATTCACTCATCACGTAATATAACCTATCGATCTGATGAAAATTATTTGATGGACCTGCCATAGCTGCATATATTGTTGTGCAAGAAACTGACAAATCAGAGGCTGCGGGTGTACAATGCACCATACAATTTCTCCGTTACATAAATCTTGCACTGGTGGAGGAAAAAGAGGAAATAGCTGTCTGCTAGGTTAACTCACCGGTCTCGCAGAACGACACATTTTATGCACCGGTGCACCAGTCAGTGTTCCCAGAAGGCACTCTATGAATGAGATGACAAACTTTATTTGTTAGTTGTTACTGACTAAGATCACCTGGAGCATTCATTCAAAACTCAACAATCATGACAGCAGGTTTTGAACCATCATAAGCTTCTGACATTTCTCAGAATCACTGAATTAATACCTTTCAATTTGTATCAAAATTCAATTTATTATGACCATCCAAGCAAGGCACCGAAAGTGCTAACTGGTAATGGACGAGATAGTTTTGACACTCTGTTTTGACAGTCTTCTCATAACAATGAGCTTGAAACATTCTCTGAACTCTTTGTTAAGAACTGAGTAGACAATAGGGTTGAAGACGGAGTTAGAGTAACCGAGCCATGTGAGTAGTTTGAACAAGGATGAGGAGACGTAGTCGGGGTAGAAGGCATCCAGGATGTTGGCACAGAAGAAGGGCAGCCAACACGCGAGGAAAATCCCCATTATGATGCCAATAGTCACTGCAGCCTAAAAGATCACATAAATTAATTTGATTATTTAAAAAAAGGTTCAATAAGATAGAAGAATGCATTATGATCTTAGTAACTATGTCATTTGTAGATTAGCGCATGTTTAATCACCCACTTATATAAGTCCATGAATTATGGAAGTACATGCCATCTTTTTGAGACATTACCATTCTAAGAATTACCATTGGAGTTTGAGGGATGGGGGTATCTAATTCGGGAACCTGAGCCAAATCTAACCAAAAACCGAACCACTATCCCCATGGCAGAATTTTTATAGCTCAAATGTACAGGTATAGTGTATTTATATTTATAGTTATATTTATAGTTTTAGTACACTTTTATAGTGAAAAACTATAGGGTGACCATAAACTATTATACACATTTTAAGATTAAATAAGTAAATAACCAAGCAACTATGAAACTTTTGGAATCATTCAATCAAATAGCAAATTTAAAACAGTTTTATTTAGTAACTGCAAACAATTATAACTATAAAAAGGTCAGCAATTATGAAAATTAGTTATAAAAGGACTGTAAAAATCTCCTAAACTGTTATTGTAAGTCATGTTTCTTTTGAGGTGAGGTGGTGTGGTGAGGACCCTTTAGACGATATGTTGGACACTTCCCAGTCGTTCAAACTGCCTGTACCACCATATTTTATAGAATTGCAACACGGATAAACTACGGCCATACTCCAAACGATCAGCCTTCTTCAAACAGTTATTACAAATTAGCTTTCATGATACCAAAGACTTAGCTTTTTATTTTACACTAGTAATTTGTTTTTTAGTGACAATAAGTGCCTGAGGGGCTAGCCATAGCTGACCTCTACCTATGTTAATATAATTAATAATGTTATTTTTTTTCTTTCTTATATTATACCTAACTTGTATAGCAATGTAATGCTGATCGGTTAATAAAATTGTTATAAAAATAAGAAAAAAAAGTAATTTGTTTTTACTTAAGACAGTTTAATGTTGATTCGTCAAATGTCATATACAGCTGGTGTTGTTAGTCATATATGTGTTTCACAACATATGGTATTAGAATCTTATTTATTTAGTTTTTCTTGGTAAACACTCTTATTGTTAAAGCTACCTAATAAATCAAGTATTTCTCTTGTCAAAAATATATTTGATTTAACTTACGATAACACTACATGGTGGCACCGGATTGTAATTGTTTTAGCAAAACATAATGATGAAAGGTTTTAGTGCTCCTTCGCCGAACATTTTGATTTTAAAGGAGGGAACTGGTCTAAATGGACAACCCGTTTCTTGCGCTTTCATGCGGTATCTGGGCTCACCAATGAAGACGAACCATATCAGGTAAACACCTTACTATATATATGGTGGGCGAAAAGACTGAAAGCATATTTGAATTATTTTATTTTACATTTGAGGAAAGTAAAAGTTTCAAAACTTGTTTAAGACAATTTTATACATTTCGCTCCTTCTAAAAATGTAATCAATCAGAGGCACTTATACTAGGGTTCAACACAAGGAAGAGCGTGTTGAGAAATTAATTCATGATCTTCTTGAGATGGCTTCTAGATGCGATTCTCCTGCTTCTTGTAAAGATGACGCTATACGGGATCAGCTTGTTGTAGCGATTAGAGACAAAGGTTTATCTGCAAACTACAAATGAATTCAGATCTAACACTTCATTCTGCTGTCTCAAATGTTAAGCAAGCCGAATCGGTTAAAATACAACAATCATTAATGCTTCTGAACATGCATGATTGCAGATAACTGCGGATAAAGTCACTTCAAGGACTTGGAGCACTAAATTTGCTCAGAAACCTCCAGTTGATTCCAATGTGTCCAGTACCAATTACTACAATCAATGCCAGTGGTTTGGTAATGCTCAACATGAACGACCAAAATTTCCTGCCCGGAATATTTTCTGTCGAAACTGCAGTTACTGTATAAAACCATAGACTAAGCAACTCAAGGAGTATGTTTTATCTATGATAAAACTATTTTAAATTTGCTACTTAATGAAACAATTCCAATTTTTCTAATCTGCTTAGTTATTTCTTTATATAATCTTAAAATGTGTCCAATAATTTATGACCACCCTGTATATTTACTCAATCCACAATCAATGTACAACTCCAACTTTAAGTTGCTCTAACTTTTTATGTTACAGATTTCCTTACCTTATGATCGATATGAGTATTGGCAATAGATTGGCAGTGATGGCGAGATAGTAGGTAGAGTCTCGAGTAAATTGCAGCCATGACCAGACATGGGATACAGAAGCTGATCAGTGAAGATACAACAGCATATACAGGTGCGAGGTCCAGGCTACAATAACTCAGCACAGACGACCGATGGAACCACAGTGACACCAACGACACTCCTCCTGATACTACCCATACCAGGGCTATGCTGCTCAGCACTACTCTCCTGGTCACCACCACAGGGTACCTGTATCAATACATTACACTCTGAGACAAGTGGGAGGTCAAGACTAAAATAAGACAGCACAGACGACCGATGGAACCGATGGGGTTGGTTCGTCCAATGGGTCTCTTGGCACTGGGGCCTAATATTCAGTGTCTAAAACAGAGCCTTCTGGGAACCAGGGGGAACCCAGTCTCATGTACCCCTTACCTCTCTAATTGGGTCACTGAGGAGGTGGACCTCAAGATACCCGGTACACGTGGGAACAATACATGGATGTTGTGAAAAAGAAACCAAAAAACCAACCAAACCATTGTTGATGCCCAAGAGTAGTGTGACCGACAGGTTGAAAGCGTTCCTATTGCTGGACTGAGCGTAGACGGTCTAACCCCAATTGAGGAGGAAAGTCTACTGAAATCTGATGATGTCAGCTAGCTTGAAGAAACCATAGAGGAACCGAAAAGTACTATACAGGGGATGCGAAGACAGAGGATAGCGGATGGCTTAACCAAGGGCAAAAAGGTGCTTTCCAGGTAGGAAAGGAAGCTGGGGTGGGCTGCTAAGCACCCGAACCTTGCTCCCATCGAAGCCGGTTCCTCCGGGAACAAGGATGCTTGGAAAAAGCATGGTGAGGGTGGCACCCCCAAAGCTGACTCTACTGGAGCTTCCAGAAAGAAAGGTGGAAAGAGGGGGTGAGAGCACCAGACACCTGAGGATGCCGGAGTCGAAAAGAAGAAGACAAGGACGAAAGAGGGAGAGGGTCGGGTGTTTCATAGAGGGCACCGGCACCCCGTTATGTTTGACGTAAGCGCGATACTTTTTTCTTTCAATGTATCTACAAAATTTGTCACTGTGCGTTAAAAAAGAAATAAAAAAGTAGGCCGTTAATGTCAAGCATAGATCTGTGGTAAAAACTGGACAAATGTAGTCGGGTTTTAACGAGTTTAAATGTTTTATTTTTTGCAAGAAAAGAAGAAGACATAAAGTTTAGAATAGTAAACAGAGTTTGGCATGCATTAGTAATATTTCATATCTGTATTAAAACAGAGCAGCAACTTAAAAAGGTGTGTTTTACAATGGTGAATGTATGGGCCGCGTCGGCGGCTACTGCCATTAGATGGTGCCGGAGCTAGATCGAAAACAGCGCCCGCAGTGATACTGAGAGCGCAATCCAGGAAGGTCTCATGGCGTGACGTCATCTTGAGGGAACACCATTACCGAAACGATACGGTGTAGAGCCATCGGCCTTGGTGGTGTTAATCCTCCTAGGGTGTAGTGGATAGCGTACCGGGTTGAAGTAATGGTGGTATCCGGATCGAATCCCACCGGGTGACACTAACTTTATGTCAAAGATTTAGCGTAGAATGCGATTACTTCTTGTACATCTTTTGTTAGCAAGTTTGGTTAGGTTATGACAGTTAAATTTTACAATAAAAAAATTATATGATTGATTTTATAAGAAAAAAATTATAAGATTAATTTTACAATAAAAAAATTATAAGATTAATTTTACAATAAAAAATTATAAGATTAATTTTATAATCAAGTATGACGTCATAGATCAGAAGCCTCCAAAAGACACTTTTGGCAAAAACTAGTAGAGAAATAAAAATTATGCGCTGTGCTCTCTACTACATCGCTGTTCACGGAGGAATTTTGAACTAAACTATGATGTCATCGTTGCGTCATTTATGTATACCTCCCGTAAGTCAGGCCCTTACAAATGTATTATCATTTTTATTATACTTTTAATTCTATTGATAGAGTGCGTGAAGTTTGTTTACTAATAAACAAATAATTTTGAAAAAAAATCTGCTTTCTCTAAATAGTTTCTAAAAATGATTAACTTGCAATTTTCAGACCAGCTGAGTGAAAGATCATTTGATTCTTATTTTGTTTAAATATTTAGTACCAGAATACCAAGCTTTGCTCGAATTGAATTAAATATAAAATTTATTATATAAAATCAGCTATATTAAAGATATTCATTACATACGGTAATCAATGTAAACACATTTTATCGTAATACAAAAAAAATCATTTTAAAACACCTTTAAAATACATAGAAAGATTGCAATAAAAATGACCTGTAGGTATCATCAGTTTATTAACTGTAGCTACAGATAAAGATATTGACGATAACATGGGAACTTTCAAGGGGTGTAGGGCAGAAACTGATTTTTTTCCAGCCTTGTGACCAACTCCAATCAATTTCTCGTGGCAAAATACCCCATATTTTACAAAAAAGTTAAAAATCCTTGGAAGAATATAATAGTATGTCCTTAGACGCACTTGATGTTGTTGTTGAATAGGATTTGAGCTTTTACCTAACCCGCAATGGTAAACTTCCCTATCCCAAGCGTGACGTATACAACTTCCTTACTTCTTGAGTGATGTAAAGTTGAAAAAAAAAACTCCCTCGGTGAGGTAATGAAACCCATTTAAATAACATTGAGTGAAAAACTTAAAAAAAATATACATCTATGGAGCCAACGACGTTCAACGCTAGAAATCAGCTGTGCGCTTGAATTATATTGTTATGTTTTGAAGAATTTTCCTAACCTAGCTTTTGTTTGTAAATGAAAGTTACCGTTAGAAGATGAGTGAAATGGATAATGAAAAATATTGTTCGTAACCTCCTGTATATTGTCGGGTCAGGTAAAATCTTGTACGTTACACGTTACGCAAGAGCGTGTTTACATCACTTAGGTAAATTATGCAACTCGCTTCCGCTCGTTGCACAACATTCACCTGCGTGATGTAAAAACGCTCTTACTACACTTGTAAGGTAAATAGCTATTTAGGGACTTGTGTCCCTACAATCCACTAGTTAACAATTAAATTAGTCTTAACGGCTGATAAGTTGACGTTAGAAGCGTTACAATTATATTATTTTTCTCTCAATCCTTGAACCTTATTGGTCCGTTACTAGTGTAAAAAAAAAACAATGCTGTAAAGTGAATTTGTTTCTATGAATTGAACCGAAAAAGCTAGTTTAAAAAACGGTCGTAGGTCAAAAATATTTCAACTAAACAACTAATCTATACACTAGGTTTTAAAAGTTCCATAGAAGGTGACTTTTCAAATTCATCAGTTGTAAATACCGTAGTGCAATACTTTACACTTAAGAAAAGGTATACTAAAAGACGTATTTTACATTGACTGAGACCAAAAATAAATTTGACATAACATATTCTTCAAATAAAGTTTTTATACCCATTTCTACATAGTATGATTAATCATTTAAAATCAGTGGCGGTTCTAGGACCTTGTCAAGGGGGGGGCTACCGGGGGGGCTGGGGGGTGTGGAGCACCCCCTAATAAAGCAGGGGGGTCCGGGGGTTCCCTCCCGGGAAAATTTGGAATTTTCAAAGCAGTTTGGTGACTTTCTAAAGCCATTTTTAACACCTAAAACCTTGCCTAATTGTCCATAAACTCGGCATTTTACCTGTTGTTTGTCATGAGCAAATAGACATTTTAAAAATTAAACTATGGCGATTGCATTCATGAATTTCAAAACACTGTAGACTACGGCCATATCCTCCTAAAAAGCCGTTGGGTGACTTTCTACAGCTAGTTTTAACGTCTAGAACTGTGTGCACAACCTCCCATTTCCCCATTTTTATTTGTCATGAATAAGTAGACATTTTTAAAACTAACTATGACGATTGCATTCATAAAATCTCAAAACATATTGTAGGCTACGGCAATATCGTCCTAAAAGCTGTTTACTAACTTTCAAAAGCCATTATTGAAATGAAATGAAATATGCTTTATTGTCTTTTGAATTTTAACAAATTATGGACAACGACATGATGCAGCTAAACAAACTTATAGCACAGTCAGTTAATAATTAATTAAATACTTATAGCTAACTAAAAAAAGGAGACATATAGGCCTACAATACTTGTTAAAAAAAATTACAACTGAAGAATCTTATTGTTAAAAAAATCTTCCAAACTATAAAATGGGTTATTGGTCGGCCAACAATAAAATTTATTCTTGAAATCCTTTATAGTATATAATTTAATTATGGATTCAAGAAAGTTATACACTCTAAGTGACAAAACTATGTGACTATTTAAAGTTTTACTTAAACGATGGAATTCTATTGAGGTATGGTTCTTATTTCTGGTATTATGATTATGAGTATTGTGCCTAAATTTTAAAAGATGTTGATTTTCCAAGATATAAACTATTAAGTCATAAATATACACGTTAATAATAGTAGGGATTTGAAGATTTTTAAAAAGTGGTTTGCTGTGGTCTCTTGAGCCTTTATTAGAGATAACTCTAACCGCTTTCTTTTGCCAAACAAGATTTTCCTCTACCCTAGCACAATTGCCCCAAAAAATCAGCCCATACCTGAAAATGGTATGAAAATATGAAAAATATGCTGTTCGGACATAATTTAGTGGAATGCATTTTTTCAGACGGCCTAGTAAAAATATTACGCGAGGAAGTCTGGTATTTTAATAGTCTATATGTGAATCCCATGTTAGCTGACTATCTACATATATTCCCAAGAACTTTGCTGAAAAAACTGTATTATCCTTATCACTGTTCTCAAACAACTCTCTTGAATTATTATTTAAGGAAAATATTAATTTTTGTGATTTTTCTTTGTTAAGCAAAAGTCCATTACCATGAAACCAATTTCCATCAGCCAATATTTCAAGTTCTTTATAGTTTTTACTTGTACATAAAAAAGTAGAATCGTCTGCGTACAGAATGGTTTTTAATACAATCAACAGAAGAGGGTACCGTAGATCATTTATATAGATTAAGAAAAGAAGGGGGCTAAGGACTGAACCCTGTGGTACTCATTCGACTGACACTTCATCTGACCATCTTCCTTTTATACAAACTGCTTGTTTCCGATTTTGCAAGTAGCTTCTTAAAAAAGATAATGGACTATTAATCCAACTATTAATCCAAATCCAAAATTATTTAATCCAATCAAAATTAAATTATTTTTCCAATTATTTAATCAAATTATTAAGCCATTATGTGTCCAACTGTCCAAAAACCTGCGAATTCACCTGTTATTTGTCTTTGTCATGAGCAAGTAAGTAAGAAGACATTTTAAAAATCAAATTATGACGAACTTGCATTCATGAATTTCAAAACATAGGCCTACTGTAGACTACAAAGCCATATCTCCTAAAAATAAGCCGTTTGGTCACTTTTATAGGGCTATTTCTAACGGCTATAACTGTGCTCAATAATTATCCTAAAACCTTCCATTTAACCTATTATATGCTGTTTATATTTCATGCAAGCAAGTAGATACGTTTTTTAAACTTATGTTTTTCTACAGTCCATTTCATAGATCTGTCACATGTACAGTATCGAATTCAGTACCGGTAATAGCATTGACTATACAAAACTTTAACATTAGTGTTTATATAGTAAAAGGTAAAAGGCTACTGGTACTACCGCTGATTGCTGATTGATGCCTGTGGCCTGTGTAAAGTTAGTGGCTAGCAGACAATTTGACAACTATGGAACATCAGGAAATCAGCTGTTTCCCCCGTCCTTGCTCGCGCGCTCGGCGCTCGCCATCGCCATAGCATGTCAACAGCTGACTGCTGTAAAAATTGGATGATGCGTATAGTATAACTAACTTTCCATTGCGTAATATTGTTTTATTTGCTGTGCTATTGTCCACAAAGTTGATCTATGTGGAACTTAATACTACTCCTGCCATCGCTTATTCAGTTTAATAACATCTACATTGATGTCTGTTTTATGACATGCGTGTTTTAAGGACGAAATGTACGTTTAAATTTATTTTTCCAGGGTCCAAGAGGTGGGGGCTTTAGCCCCTGTAGCCCCCCCCTTGGAACCGCCACTGTTTAAAACTTAACTTTTTGGCGTCTAAAATGTTAAACTTCTTACCTGAAGGGATCTTTTATATGGGTGTATCTGTCTAAAGCAATGGCACAAAGGTTGAAGATAGAAGCAGTGCAACACATGATGTCCACTGCGATCCAAATGTGACAAAGCTTGGCCCCAAAAACCCATCGGCCTAGGAGATCATTGATCCCTGCCATGATCATGACCCCAGCGACCAACAAGTCTGCCACAGCAAGGGATGCGATGAACAGATTCTCGGTACGTCGGAGTCGAGAGTCATGGTATATGGCCAAACACACAAGCAGATTACCCACAATGCACACTGTCACCAACAATAGTATGCCAAGAGCTGGGGACAAACAAAGATATTTAAAAACACTTTAAGTTTAATATAAGTAATTAAAAACAGTCATACAAAAGTGTATTCCCGTATTTTTTTTGTAAGTATCCTGAAAGGAACTAACAACCGTTAACAACCGTTAGACACAGGTAACTATACGTTTCTCTGAGAGTAATCATCATTCATCTTCATCGTTCATATATACGTGACAGAGTTTTTTTTCAGGATTCTAAATGAACCTGTTTTCAATACTTAATTATTTAATTAAAAATCAACAGATTTTCATGATTTTTGTGTTGAAAGAAAGATAATTTTGAGAACTAGGGAATGTTGAAGCCATAGTTTTAGTTTAGAGTTTCAGTTTTTTAGATACCTATTAGTCTTTAGTTAAGAATTTCCCATATAGGCTAGGGATCTATTACCGTAGGTCTCATGGTAAGACCTGGACCTGGGACCGATTTACTTTTCATTTTGAGATCTCTAGAGAATGAGTTCGCGAACCAGCATGATTGGATTATGGGACAGGGGTTTTATGGGGCAAAAATGGGGTATTCTCATTTTTCACCCTGAAAACATAAAATTTAGCAATTTCTTTCCAAACGATTTTGTAGAGCTAAAAAAAACAAAAAAATTAGTATATTGAGGCATTGTTGTATGCCTAAAGGTTACGAAAAAATCCCAAAAAAGTGAAAATTTAAAATTATTATGTTATTTGTATGGGGAAAAAAACTGTTGTAGCTTGCTTGTCTACGGACATATTTGATTGAAATTTTGAAATTTTGTTTACTTCATACTACTTAGATATCAATATTTTAATAAAAAAGTCCTATTTTCTTCCCTGTAGCAGCAAACCTACGTAGGCCTACTCATTAAAATTAATGACATTTAAATAGGAAATAATTCGGACAATTTTAAGGGAATAATTTAGTTTAATTCCAGCCAGGTAGATGGAAATTCGCTTATTGAGGGATTTCACAATATTTTTTTATTTCCCTTTATTCCCTTTTATTCCCTTTTATGTGGGGAATAAAAACAAAGACTTAAGACATGGCACAATTTTTATTTCACTATTAGTTTTGCCAACAGTGTCATTTGGTCATAGGCCTACTTAGTCATACTTAATTATAAAATTAAGAAAAATTATAAAATTAATCTTCTAAATTTTTAATTATAAAATTTAACTATCATAACCTAACCAAACTTGCTGATATATAATGAAAAATTCGAATGAAGGTTTACTAATAGAAAAAATAGTTCTGTTCATAAAATAAAATTATAACATATTGACAGCTTTTTGTTTACAATAAATTGACTGCTTGAACTTTGTTTTATTATTGGCCTAGAAATATTTATGTTATCAAACAAAGAGATCAAGAATCATCAGGAATGCAATTTTAAATTACTTCTGCAATACTACCACAACTTCTGACTGATTTTATCCAAAGATATACATATGGATGATATAGATTGAGCAATATTGACCTAGGATACTGCAAGTAGACACGTCCTTTTGTAAAATCTAAAAGGTTTTTTTTGTGTTCATGTGTGGTTACGTTTGGGTGAGCTGATGTAGGTGAAATAACACTTTTATTTCAACTAAATATCTTGTAGTTTGAATAAATGAATATGGGATATCTTGGATATTAAAAGGGATAACGGTATGTATAATAAATATAGACAAAATTATCTTACTAGCGTGTTTACTTGTACTTTCTCCCCTATACCATAATTATTTTTGAAATTGAGTTTTGAGGGGATGTATCCGTTTCGCCAGTTGTTTTGCCGCGGCCTTGTATTAGAAGAGGCTATCAAGTTATATACGCTAGCCCCGCACGAAGGACGGGTACTCCGCTAGTTACAAATATAAATACAGCGAGTAAATTAAATATACAGTAGAAACAAATCTGTATTTTAAAACCGAAATATTCAGTTTGATGCATTGATTTTCAACAAAGGTTCTGCAATTTTTTCATTGAAAAATGTTAACCCTCCTAGGGTAGGGGTGGGGGTGACTTATTTTGTTAAAAATAACAGCCCCTTTTGAGCGACCCCTCATTTAATGGGTTTGTCAAAATAAATACACAACCCCTAGGTAGATATTTCACTCCTAGCATAAACGGCGGGTATTTCAAAATTTGATTTATCTGAAAAAGCACCAATTCCACAAATTTGAATGATAATTCAAAATTTGCATTGTCATAGGAGACCGAATTGAAAAACCTTAAATTTATAGCCATTGTCACACTAAAAATTATGATTTAAATTGAGATACCCTAAATCTATCTGTTTAAAAAAAGGTGTCCCAAAACGTTACCGATAAATAAAGTTGTATTAAAACTTGATAAGATAAAATGCCATTTTATAACAATTGTAGGAATTCAAAAATAAAAGGGAAAATAGCAGAAATAAGAAATTGGAATTTTATAAATCATTTAAGTAGCTCTGGTTGTCTCAGCTCATTCGGAATGCCCATGCAGATGCACAATGTAAATTAAACGTAGAATGAGCTACTCCCTGCCTCCTAAACTCTTACAGGGGGTTAGAAAATATTTTTGATGTACACAATTGCGGAACCTTTACTAACAACAATGCCACAAACAGAATCAAACTAATATTATATATTTCTGTTCAAAAAATACAGATAGGTATCCATACTTAATTTACACACTGTATAATTCAACAAGATCTTATATTTAAATGTAGCTATAAAATATTGCTTTATTTCGAGAAAAAAGATACCTAGTTAGTAATCAATGAGGAATTAATAAAATAAAATATTTAAGGCTGCTAAAATGTATTTTTAAGATTTATCACTTACCAATTAGGATGACAGAAAGTGTATTGAGCATGGTGTTGAGGCATGGCCCCAATAATGCTGGGGCAATATCATCTGAAACAAACACACTGTGAAAAAAGGTTATACAACTAACATTTAGTCATAGTAAGATACCAGTTCACACTAATAAAAGAGATCGGAACGACTCTATTATTAATTTACTAGGTGAAACCCGTCGAAATCGACGGTTACTTTCAAGGCTTACGTTAATTCATCTAACTGCGATAAATAGGATGAAATACACATATTTTGAGCATTTAGCATTGTTTAAAGAGTAATAGGTGTAAAAACAATAATGATATTAATTGAGTTAGATGCCAAATTTGGTTGATCATTCAATGAATAAAATATTCCCCATACCGTTCGTCATCGGAGTTATAATTCTTATGTTATATACTATCTCTTCCTTTGGAAGAACCTTTAAATAGTATTAAAATCGTATTGGTGGATCTTTTGTAGTTAAACACTTCCGTGATTTCATCAGAGTAATATGATTTTATTTCAAAAGAAAATATTTTTTGGGAAGACATATTCTAACTTCAAAGGGAAGACATATTTTAGGTATATCCGTTACAGTGTAAGTTTGATTTTTCCTTTGTCACGTCGCGTCAGTTCATATCGTACTTCTGTGCCAATGAATGAACCCTCTAGCATAGTTTTGAGAAATTGATTGTGGGGTTAGAGCCCTATTACACTTGGTCACCAGGCGACGCCACCGGTGGCGTCACCGGCGACGTCGCCGGTTACTGTACGGGCAGCCAGCCTGGACACCAGAGAAGTCACCAGGAGTGAGACCAACCCCCAAAGTTCCTCCACTCCAGTGTCTACATACATTCAGCGCTGTCACCTCGTTGAAGGACAAAGTACTCTGTTATCCGCGTCTTATCTCTTCAGTTTAAAGAATGTCCAGTGAACAAACATTAGTAAATAAACGGGGAAGAGATGCAGGTAAAGGGGAAGAAGACGCAGTAAAAGTAAGCCAGTCTAGTGTAAAATGTAGTGGTGAAATAGATACCACTACATTTTCCTTGGGGGTGCATGTACATTTTCCTTGCTTGTCTCCTCCTTTTCCTCAACAAAAGAGCAAGAATTAGCATTTCTTCATATTTCGTCCACCCACTACACTGGCAACAATCTGAACTTGCAGAACACAAAAATACAGTGGTGACGCAACACCGGTGACTGTGTGTAATATGTGCCATTTGATTCAATGCCCAGCGACAAATCTTGGTCACCAGTGGTTACTCGTCTGGTCACGGGGCAGAGTCACCGGTCAGTCACCAAAGGCTGGTGACGCAACTGGTGACCCTAGTGTAATAGGCGCCATAAGAACCAGTGCCCACCAACTAGTATGGTCACCGGTGACGTCGCCTGGTGACCAAGTGTAATAGGACTGTAAAGCTGGAATTCCTTGACATGGGGGATGTCAGTTGTCTCAGCCTTATCAATAACATAACGTTGTCAATATAATCTCTCTACGGAATGTTAGGTGTAGTGGAATACTTGAAGTGAAGTTGGCCATTCTTGAACTGTTAGGGGCCTCCTAGTTCATATGGTCTTGCGGCTTCATTGGCAACAAATAATGCAAATGACATAGCAATGGGACATTTCCAAAAAGCAAAATACTGTAAATTGGCTGTAACGTATATATTGACGTTTACATATTGTTAATCAACGTATCTTATAAAGGATTATGTGATCTAGTTTAAAAGGAATATGACCTTTCTGTCATGACAGGTGCTGTTTAAATAGTATTTTCTCTTTGTACCATATTTTACAGCCAAAATGTCGTGTTATTTTCATTAATGTTACCAACCCAGTGCACCAAAGTCCGTAATATAAGCAGGTGCAAATATTTGTCAAGATGGGTACCATTTTAGGCAAGGTTTCTATGTTTGGATTTTATTAGACACGATAAGAGCAAATATTTCTATTTCTTTCTGCATAAATATTTGACATGTGTAGAATAATATGATAAAATGTAGGCAAAAGTGGTGAAAAAGGCAGACACCCGTACAATAGATATAAGATAGTTCAATAAGAAATAATTATAAATTGCTGTGATAAAAGAATTTCCCACTGATTTCGTAATGGAACGTTACATTGCAAAACATGACATGATAAAGAAGAAAATCAGGAAAATAACATTGCAAATACTTATTTGGTAGAATTCAGAAACTCCCAATAATTGTGTGTTGTTTGAAATACAATTTAAAAATGAACATCTGTTTCATTAAAAAGTATTATTCACATGTCCAAAATGTAAACAACTCTGTGGAGGTATCTTTAAAGGCTTCTGGGGCAGAGTCCTAAGAGATTTTGCTTAGTTTTTCTTTTGATAACTCATCTACAGACCAAGACCTTTCTTTGGATACCTCTACCAAGTTTCTACGCCCAGCCGTTCTCTCAAATTAGTGGGGACAAAGTTTCCAATTAAATATTTAGATTCCCCCATGTTAATCTTAAGGGAGAAACTCCAACTTTGATGGCCTGTGGGGCAAGGCCCGAGGATTTTTATAACAGGAATTGGTGAAAGGGGGCGTCTACACAAAAAATACTTTATTTTGACACGTCGTTTGTAAAAATCCGTCCATTATTAACGGAGGAGTAGTGTTTCGTAGAAATCGCCTTCACGTATTATATATAAGGATATAAGGATGGTTGGATGTTGAATTATTCACATTACTTTAAAATGCCATTTTCTATTTAGTAACTGTTGTGTTCGTGGGTTGAATGGACTTTGGAAGTGGACTAAATGAATACGAGAGTTTTACATGTTTATAGCACGGCCACAAACAGGTGATTAAGGTGCGACTTTTGGAGGTAGACTGGCTGTTGAAGGGACGGACGGACATGGACGGTGGTGTGATGTAGGTGGAGAGGGGATCAGGTGATGTTTGTAGCCAATGAGGTCTATTGAAAATCATACGATACATAGTAACGTGATGTACAAAGAAATCATAGTTACAACGGAAATTGGTATTCTTAGATACATTACAGTAACTATCCGTTTCATTCAACCTCTGGGTAAAAAAAGGTGTTTAACATAAAACAGCACTATGACTACCTACACTTATTTTTAATCGTCGTGAACTGCTAATATCAAATAATTAAATGGTTGACTAATTGAGGATATTTATTCTTGACCAGACCACCTTAAGATATTGTATTGTAATGGTTTTTACAGACATAGGCTACCAATACAAAGGTAAAAATAACAAATCAAACCACCATACCTTTTTTGTTTGTTGTTTAACATGCTTAGCTAACAAGTCCAATATTCTATCCCATAGCTTTGTTTGGCAAGTTATCAACTACTAACAAGTTTCCTACCAACTCGAGGATCTAGGGTCCTCAAGATGGATTGTTGGGTGACAATTTATAGCAGGGTCTGGTGATGGTGTTATAACTGAGCATTATCCAATCAAAACTCACTTTAGACAACTACTTGATGGTCCGTAGTTGGGCAAGACTAACATCATCATTAGATCAAGTTAAATTATCAGTTTAAATGTTTATGGCCTTTGCTTAACAACTACCAACGGGTTCATTACTATATAGAAATGATTGCGGTTGATCTCGAATACCACATTCAAACTACTGTGTTTACCATACAGTCTCATTCTTATTCTTTATCTCCTCTTATTTTCATACAAACTAATGAATAATTACAATGTAAAATAGGTGAATTTAATAGAAACATGTTGAAAAGACCAATCGAGTTTGCAGCTCGAGGCTATTATAATATTAACTATGCATAAACAATATACGAGATAACATACTTAATACAGGGGTTTTCCCTGTTACATCCCTTTTCCAGCCATCCTACCTAACAGAATTTTACACTTGAGATTTCATTCTAAAGATTATAATCTTGCTTACCTACGAATGGGGATTAAATAGGGAATTTCTTTTAGGGCTTCGTCCCCGTCACTTTTAATTAATTTCTAGAGTCCGTTTCATAGGTACAGTTTTGCTGAGGAACTTTCTTTATAAACGTTTAAATGTAAATGGTAATTTAACAGTTGGTTCTTTAGCTGAATATTTAACCACAGTCAGATTGTAAACAAAAGACTAAACAATTACAGTTTAAGAAACAATTTATTTTAAATAGGCTAATTTATGACAACTGTGACCTGATTGAGGTAGGTAAGTGAATCAGTCTTTAAAGTATAGATATAAAATTAAAAAAAGAAAAAAAAAACTGTAGTAAAATAGTAGTAGTTATATTCACCTAACAACTGTTATAAGCAAATATAATCTTGAAAAGGTAAATGGGCATCGCACTGGATTCATATTGCACTGGCAACTACAGTAGGTAGTTAGTTTTGACCATTGACTATTCACCTCTACTACTGGATTCATATTGCACTTGCAACTACAGTAGGTAGTTAGTTTTGACCATTGACTATTACACCTCTACTACTGGATTCATATTGCACTGGCAACTACAGTAGGTAGTTAGTTTTGACCATTGACTATTCACCTCTACTACTGGATTCATATTGCATTGGCAACTACAGTAGGTAGTTAGTTTTGACCATTGACTATTCACCTCTACTACTGGATTCATATTGCACTGACAACTACAGTAGGTAGTTAGTTTTGACCATTGACTATTCACCTCTACTACTGGATTCATATTGCACTGGCAACTACAGTAGGTAGTTAGTTTTGACCATTGACTATTCACCTCTACTACTGGATTCATATTGCACTGGCAACTACAGCAGGTAGTTAGTTTTGACCATTGACTATACACCTCTACTACTGGATTCATATTGCATTGGCAACTACAGCAGGTAGTTAGTTTTGACCATTGACTATACACCTCTACTACTGGATTCATATTGCATTGGCAACTACAGCAGGTAGTTAGTTTTGACCATTGACTATTACACCTCTACTACTGGATTCATATTGCATTGGCAACTACAGTAGGTAGTTAGTTTTGACCATTGACTATTCACCTCTACTACTGGATTCATATTGCACTGGCAACTACAGTAGGTAGTTAGTTTTGACCATTGACTATTCACCTCTACTACTGGATT